TATATATAAATCAAGATAGCATGTGCATGTTAGATTGTGCCTACGACCAAACCCAATAGGTGTAAGATCATATGTTATATTGAACGAATTAATCAGACAATCGTTATACTAAGTGGCAGTTTCATTAATAATTATTACAACCAATACGAGTACTAAATGTGTTATTGATGATTTTGGATTTTGCCATCCATTTTACTAGATTATTTTCGAAGGTATCATCGGCAGTGGTAACAGATCAGATATAGGAATCGATGACGTCAAATATATACATGCAGGTAAAGAAATATACCACACATACAAATTCAGATTAGGTATCTTATCTCTAGGCTAGGCTTAATAGTAATGTGTGATATACATTTGCGTAATTAGCCTACTCTTTTAATAATAGGCTAAATTTCCGTGATATTCTTGTAAAATGTTTTATCAAAAAATGGAATAAAGAATACTGAATATGTTATTCTTATTACAAACGTTCTAAAAAACGTAATATTAATTGTTGTGACATTGATAGAGATTTACAACACGTTTTTAAATAACTATTTTATGTAAATTGTTTATTTAGCGTTACCTGGAGAGTGTGATTTTGAAGGTGGCAATCTTGGATCTCTTTGCGGTTTCTACCAAGACGACACTGATCACTTCGATTGGTTATTACATAGTGGTGAAACGCCCTCACTCGATACGGGACCTTTCTTTGACTCTACCTTTCAAAATGGGTCCGAGGGTAAGATATACGGTTCTTTATTTGTTGGCAAGGATATAACATTGGTGACTATAATTATGATGATTTGCTGTCATACTTAGTATTATAAAAAATGTACTGTAAGCCTATATGTAAATAAAATAATTATATTTATTACCTTTTTGTTGTCATCGTTATCAAAGTGTTCTTACTGTATATCTTTTATAAAGGCCATTACATTTATATCGAAACAACGAGACCCGACGAAGAAAGAACCGCTCGTCTGATTGGTCTGCCATACTATAAAGAACAAGGCAGTGTCTGCTTTTTTAGTTTTAAATATCATATGTTTGGAGCCAACGTCGGTGAACTGAACATATACATCCAAAACAACAAAGTATGGTCGCAGTCAAATGGAACTGTAGACGGTTGGCAGGATGGAAGAATCAGTCTACAAAATATTTATGGGTACTACGAGGTAGAATGGCTTGTTATTTGTTCAAAAGTCTCATTCATTGATGCATCACTCTTATTCTTCTATACATAAAAAAAATTTACATTTTTTCGTTTATTTTATTTTATTTTTTATCAATTCATAAATATGATTTGATTTTCATTTACTGAACCTTCGTAATTTTTATAAATGCGAGGATACCTTCGTGCTTTTCAAAGTTTCTCTACCGTTGATGTTGTTAATAATTAATTAATTGTCTACCGGTTGTGGGCGCACTGTGATGAAAACATGTAATTAACCAATGAGTAGACAGTCTATGAGCGATTTTATTAGAGATAAATCATAATATAAATGCATATTAATTATTATTATTGTATTATCATCGTCATCATCATCCTTCCTTTTTCATATTTTTTTTTTCTAGAGTTAATGTCTCTAAACATGGTTTTAACATCAGGCTTTCTACCACCTTCAATTCAATTTCTCTTTTTGATAAATTTATTGATATTTATTTTGATTCGTTAGGTTTATCTAAAACCAAAGTCAAAAAACGTTCGTATTTTTAGGCTTTGACTTGTTACTTGTTCTGTACTTCATCGTTTTGTCATTGCTATAGTGTATTCCATTATCTTAATTAAAGGCGGGTATCCCGATGTTGTGTGTGAATTTAAATAAAATAATAATATTAATAATAATAATAATAATTATTATTATTATTATTATTATTATTATTATTATTATTACTATCCTTATCATTATTATTATTAGTAGTAATAGTAGTAGTAGTAGTATTATTATTATTATTATTATTATTATTATTATTATTATTATTATTATTATTATTATTATTATTATTATTATTATTATTATCCTTATTATCCTTTATATGATTGTGTTGCGCTTTCATGTAAGCCATAACCTCTTTTTTTATTATTATTAATGGAAGGTAGAAATTGAAGGTATTCGTGGAGATGGGAATTTAGGTGACATAGCAATCGATGACCTATCGTTCACAGGGAACGGATGTACTGGTGCGTATCAGTTGGATTTTAATGAAAGCGAATTCAACATTAATAAATGATTTTTAAAAAAGAAAGAAAAAAAATATGCAGTCAATATGAAATGGCCTATATGAATATACAGTATTGTTAATTAACAATTATTTTCAGATATTGATAAATGTGCAAGTAATCCTTGTCAAAATGGCGGGACGTGTTCACAGTCGTCATCTCAATTCAAATGCGCATGTGTACCAGGGTGGACTGGACTATATTGTCAATTAGGTGAGCAGAAGTATACTTACACAAACACACACACATAATACTGTATATATATTACCATGCCAAGAGTGCTCAAAGTACATATAGTAGTGGGCCAACTAATCGCAAAACAGAATTGGTACCATACTATCTCA